AGTGCTAGCACCACTAGTGCTGCTGCCAGCGTCACTACCACAGCTAACAGTCCCCCTAGTGTGACTGGAAGGTGACAGCGTCGCCGCATGGTTACCACTTCCTGTTGCCTCACGGGCTGCTTCAAGGGACATCCGCAGCTGAGTGGCTGCACGCGCAGCAGCCGTCCACAGATCCGTTACAGTGGCAGGTCCACCTGGCAGGCCCTGATTCTCTGCAGACCAGGCTGCGCCAGCCTGACTAGCAGCATTCCCACAGGAGGTATCAGCAACATTTCCACCAGCCAGGGAAACGGTGCCACTACTCGCAGCAGTGGGAGTAGGAGAAGAAGCAGCAGCATTGGCTGCTGCCTCAGCCCGTATCTCATCCACACCCCCATCCACCTCTGCACCTCCTGTCTGGAGCTGTGGTTCAGAAGCAGCAGTGGCGCTGGATTCCTCCTCGCTGAGGTGCAGCAGGCCCAGCAGCTCCTTCTGCGCCTCCAGCTCCAGTATCCGCACCATCTCCAGATCCACCCCCACTTGCACCGCATGCGCGTCAGACATAGAAACAGCCTTTTTCAGCGCCACGCGAGGCTCTGCGATAACCCCGCTGCCGGTGCCATCAGTCACAGCATCAGTACCATCCGCCGAAGACGTCAGAACGGAACCAGGGGGGCCGGGGATGAAGCTCGGCGCGCTGTGGCGTCTCTGTGTCGCCTCCAGCAGCCTCGCTGCCCTTGCACCGTGTTCACCGTCACTGCCATCACCCTCCCCCACACTGCTATCGCCTGCCAGTGCACCCAGCACGTCTAGCCGCCCTGCAACGCTTCTTGGAATGACTCCCTCAGCTCCGCAACTACCGCACACAATCCGTATACAGCCGCTTTCACTGTCATCACCGTTGCCATCGTCGCTCGCGTCGCCCGCGTCGCCAGCATTGCCAGCGTTGTCGCCAGTGTCGCTGATGGCTTGCCACCCGCCCGTTGCTGCGTTTCCGCTAGCCTGCCACTGTCGCGGCTGTGGCATTTCCGTTTCCGTCCCTGATGCAAGCTGCTGCTGGAAAGATACAAGTTTCTGCTTCTCTTTCTCCACCTCCTCCCACGCCTCTCTTAACCGCTCTCTCTCCCGCCGGAACTCTTCTCCCCAATCGCCCGCCTGTTCCCCCTCCAGTCCCCTCACCTTTCCGCCTCCCCCCCATTCAACTTTCCCCCCAATCCCCAACCCCAACCCCAACCCCGCCTCCCCCTCTCCAATTCCCGCAGAAGCCGCCGCGTCGGCCGCCACGACCGCCGCCGCGTCCACCGCCGCCTCTTGCGCGGCGACGACCTGCTTGAGGCGCGCGACGTTCTGCTCAAGCGCCTGCAGGTCGCACTGCGACTCACGCAGCAGCGCCTGCAGCTGCGCGTTCTCCTCGCGGAGCAGCGCCGCGTCCTCGTCAGCATCCACGTCAGAGTCCATTAACAGACCCATCCCCGCGCCCACCCGCTTCACCTCCGCCCACACCCCGCTGTCACTCCGCCCCGCCTCCGCAAGACGGCGCGGGAGCTCGCCGCCTGCCGCGAAAAACATCTCCCCAGATGCCGCCGAAGGTGGTTTAAAGGCTGGGCTGACGCTTTCCTTTGTCACGAAACCGTGCGAGGTGCGGTGCGCGCTGTCCTTCCCCCCTGCGAAACCATCTGAAGTCTCCGCCCACGGGGAAATTGCGCTGCTGCCTCCACCAGCTTGGCCCCCGGCCCCGGTGCATCCCGTTGATTGCGCGATGGCGGCAGTTACATCTTCCCCCCCTGGCGCTGCGAGCGCGCTTCCGCCACGAGCGAGCTTGAGCGGAGGAGCGCCACTTCCCTCCAGACTGGAGCGGAGAGAGTTGCCGCTGAAGCTGCGGTGAATCGGGCTTCCGCTTGTCCCCCGGACTGCTCCGCTTGCGCCAATCTCTCCGCCCCAACAGGTCCCCGCTTTCACCGCCATCGCCCACGCGCCACCGGGCGGCTTCCACACCGCCAGCTGCCTCCGCAGCACCGCCGCTTCCGCCACCGCGCGGGAAACCACTCCGCGCAACGTTTCCTGCGCGTCTTCCGCGGCGCGGCGCTGCTCCTCTGCCACCCTGCGCTGCTCCTCCGCAAGCTCCTTCTCCCGCAGCAGCAGCATCAGGCGCTGATCCGCGCGTCGCCGCTGACCCTGGAGCGCGTCGTTCTCGGAGCGCAGCATGCGCACGTCCTTCTGCAGCGCCAGCAGCCCGGAGCGCAGCCATGCCGCCTCGAGCTTAAGACCGCTTACCTGGCGATGCGCGACCCGGAGGATCTCCGCCACCTCATCCTCGAAGATCGACGCCGCGTCAGCCGCTGCCGAGGGGGGTTGAAAGGGCGTGCAGGACGTAAGGAGCGAAGGGTGAAGGGGAGGGGGTGCCACGACGAGTCTGCTATACGTTACAGAGATAGAAAGCGCCGTGAGAAACATGGAGAAGCGTGGAACAGGTTTGGCACAACGCAGGAGCGCATTGAAATAGGAGAAGGAGCGCATTGTAACAGAAGAACGAAAACCAAGAAAAGCACAGAATCACCCCAGACAAGAACGAGCAGACAGAAGAAGATTTAAGTGGACAACATACCCATTCGCCTTATCTGATGGGAATACCTGTAGGGTAGTGGTCCGCCGTCTCGTCATCCCCAGCAGCATGCAGATCTGAACCTTTTAAACCATCGCCAATGGCTACTTCCTCCTCCTCAATCACGCCATCGTCATCCAACTCCCAAAAAAGAGAATCTAACGACGCCTTTTTCGCATTACTACCGTCGTTTCCTGAACCCACGCCAGGACACGCGCCGCCGTTTGCGCTGATCAACCCACCGCCAGCGCCATGTGCCGGCTGGATTGCGCCAACAGTGGGCGGAAGCGGCGGGGAGAGGAGAGCGGAGGAGCCGATGGCCAAGAGACCGTCGAGCGCAGACTGCGCGGTGGTATCGTCGGCCGTGAAGAGCTTCTCGATCTCAGCATCGAGCTCGTCCAACTCCTCCTCGAATTGCTCCTCAGTGGGCTCCAGCACGCCCCCTAGCGCAGGGGACTCCACACTCGCGGCTTTCGCCGTCATTTCTGAAAGATTTCCATCGTTTTGCACGGGGAGAGGTGCTGGCTGTTTTCCGTCTAACTTGCAAAACCAAGTCACGGAGTGTGGAGAAAAAAATGATTGAACTTTTGATGCACTGCTGGAACATAAAGGTCCGTACATGCCCATGATGGATCGGGAAAAGGGGTGGCGGAGCTGAACATACGGGGGGGAGTGAGGGGAGAATGCGGGGATGTACGTATCCTGAAATTCGAGATGGGAGCGGGGATTTGGGGGAAATGGGGAGTTTTGGCTTGGGGAGAATACAGTAGCGAAGGACGGGTGTTCAGGGAAAAGCGGGATTTGCTTGACTTGGATTGGTGGATGCGCCCCTCCTTGCCAGCATCACACCGAGCTCGCCGCGCCCTTGGGCAGGTCAAGAAGTGGGTTCAGCACGGCAGTCAGTTTTGCGGTTTCTGTTCGATCTCGATCCATGTACAGATGTTCAGGCTTAGAGGCTCTTCCTAAAAGAGTATCATTTTCTCGTCGAATAGATTTTTTCACATAAGTCCTAGATGTATCCCCTCCTTTACAGTCCCATTTTTGGCGCGAATTCTTGCATCTTGACTGAATCATTGCACAAATCAGTTCCGCAGCCAATCAGAGAACGCAAATCGAACCAGTCGGAACATTCACGGAAAATGATAAAGACGGAAATCTTGATTCAAGATTTACTTTTGTTTCTGATGACCGCGCTTGCGTCGAAATTCCGTCGCGCGGTTCCCGGCTAGCTCGACGGTGACATCTCAATAATATCGCTAACAGGGTAAAACAAATATAGTTGTCTTATATTTCGGCCATAATTACAAATTTTATTCGGGTATTTTCTGCCCGTTAGTCTTGCTACATTGATCAACGCGGCGAACCTTGCGACGAGAGTTTTAAGACAGCGCAGTTCGAATGTGCGTATATGACAGGAATAAACGACTAGTAGCGAAGAAAAGCCCCTTTTCATGCAAATCTTCCGATATGGGACTACAAGTTCCCGTTTGCTTGGGGTTTGTGAGTTTTCCACAAAGGCCCCCAGAGCTTGTGTTTTTCACGGGGACTCTAATCGAGAACATTTGTATACACTACAGTCCTCAGCATCTGATGGCTCACTTACTCTTGAAGTGCTGGACATTATGGCGTCCATTGATTGGATGAAGGTGTAACGAACGACAACACGAGCAGGGAGGGAGGCTGGTTATCCGCGTTTATGACATCAATAGAATACACCAAGACTTCGCATAAAAATGTTTGAAATACATACAGCATATCGCATTTGGTCTCGAGTTGTGGTACTAGCGGGGGCAGGATCACAAAGATCTAGATCGTCCAATTACACAGTCGAGAGCTTCTGATCCCCCGTTTTCCTCGAGAGCCAAGGATGCCAGTTCTGTTTGGTCTGCGCTGGCTTCATACGAAGATTTCATTGGTCAACGGGGAGAAGGAAATCGTCGTGCCACGCTGTCATCCTCACAACAAATCGGGCTCCGGCTGGCCTTCGCAAAAGTTTTCACGTCTTCGTTTACGGTTTTGAATCACAAAAGAGTCGAATATTCAATAATCTCGTATTCAACGAAACCTAACACAGCTTCAATAATATTCATTGAATGTTTTCGAAGATGAGTTCCTTCCTAGCCCAAAGTCGCCGCCATCTTCGGTTGCGCGACTCGTTCCCACACAGAGGCCACCCAAGTCCCAAGTCCCAAGTTGTCCGTCTTCATCACCACCAGACTGAGTTCTCCAGCTAGACCAGAAGCAGTGAAACCATCTTATTAGCAAGCGTCATCGCCCAGCAATTTTGCCGCTGTTCATTTCGCAACAGCGGGAAGAACTTACCTTCTCGAGTATTAAAAAACTCTGCAGCCCGTTAACGTTTCTGAACACCCCTTTTCTGAACGTTCCAGAACCAAGTGTGAATACGTTCCGCGTTACAATGGTTTCCGTCGTCGAGAATGGAGTGTCAGAACAGATCCAGAGAGCCTTGGACGCGCTCCGGGCCGGCCAGTGCGTCGCCATTCTTGACGACGAGAGTCGCGAGGCTGAGACGGATCTGTTCTTCCCCGCATCCTCTGTACAACCCGCGGACTTGCGACGCCTGCGCATCGACGCTGGCGGCGAATTGTACATAGCAGTGGGCCACGAAGTCGCCGAGACGTTCGGGATCCCCTACATTTCGAACGCGTTAGAAGCCGCCGCCGATCCAAAAGCCTCACCCTCAAATACCGGATCTGCGAACTGCAATGGCGTGGGCGACAAAGCGGCGAAGGGGTTTCCTGTGCTGAAATATCTAGGCAAGGGGGTGGACGGCATGTGCCAAGGCTCCTGTTCCGTCGGGCTGTCTCTAGATCACCGCTCCACGGACACGGGCGCTCCGGACTCAGAGCGCAGTCTCACGTGTCGGCGACTGGCGCTGCTGTGGGAGGAGATCCGCGCGGAGCGCGCGAATTCTTCCGGAGAAGCGGGGAAAAGTGAAGCTGAGGGGCAAGCGGAGCAGGAGGACGCAATGCGGCGGCTGGGAAAGGAGTTCCACACGCCAGGGCACATCTTCCTGTGCATCGAAAACCCGGAGGGCCTCCGCAGAAGGCGCGGGCACACGGAGCTCTCGGTGGCTCTGGCGAAACTCGCGGGGATCACGCCCGTCATGGTGAGACTTCCTGCGCACGGGCTTGGGAGCATGGGTTTTAGGGAGGTCTAGAGGGAGTGGGGAGAGGGAAGAAGAGGGAAAGGGGGCTTTATATAGTTGTGAGATTGAAACAGGAATGCGGAGAAACTGAGGCATTTCATCGTGAATACGTGAGACGAAGGTGAAGGAGGTTTCGCTATAAGACTCAAAGCGTCTGACTCCGTGTAAGCCTGTGGTTGGTTGCCTGGTCAGCTGGTGCTGAGCGCTGTAGTAGGTTAACATCACGAGTCAGACGAGCGCTGTGGTGTAACCCCACATGGTCCAACACTTCAATGTAGCCTACCTAACTTGGCTATCATCCTTGTCATCCCACGGTTTGATTGCACTGATCCTCATTGGTTGATGTTCAATTTCCTCTCAGCTCGTTTCCTTGTTGCCTTGGAAACTGCTGCTGAATGTTCAGCACACAGACGTCATGTCTTCTATCCTTCATTCACATGCCTCATGTCTTTTGTTTTATAGGTTGGCTGTGTCATGCTGAGCAACAGCGGTGATGACTATGGGGCCCTCCCTGCTGCTTCAGCCCGCCAATGGGCTGCTGCCAACTCAGTTCCTTGTTTAACAGGCCCGGATGTAATCAAGGCTGTTCTGGGGCAAAATGTGCCTCTGGTCAGCTAAATATATGTTTGCGCTGATGGTGACGATGTGTCAAGTGGGATGATGCAGAGGAATGGCTGCTTTTCTTATTTCACAGGTGATGATGCCCCCATTGTCCCAAGAGCCCTGAAGGGCACATTGAATTCTATGTGAAAGATTATGCATCACTGGTTTAAGTCAACAATCCCATACAGTATCTCTTCACCAATATCTATCTATTTTTCAATCAGTTTAGAATGATACGGTGAAAGAATGGTAGTTCACATTGTGGTCCCTTGCCAAGATCCTTATCACAGTCTGTGTATACCGTCTTAGTACATGAGTCAATTTGTTACATCCACAGCTTCTAGAAGGGGGAAAATCAGGCCAACACCAAAGCATGCCCCTTGAAACCACCCCGCATTATCCCAAATCTGTTCTCGTTCCGCCTGCCCCCTCGCAACTCATTCCCCCGGCTCCGCCCCGACCTGGGGCCCATTTCTCCACTCACGGGCTGCCACGTCGGCTTGCGGGAAATCCATCATAGCGCGCGCGCCTGAAAACATGACTCGCGCGTTTCTCCTCCTTCCCGTGGTGCCAGCCAGCCTCCTCCACCACAGTCGATTGTGCCTATCTTGAGGGGAATTGACTGGTCAGAGTCAATTCCTCGAGGGCATACTTTCCCCCGCCCATTTCCCTAGCCATGGCGGCCACAGCGATGGCTGGTCTGCATTCGACCGCCTCGCTCTCTCTCCCGCGCCACCACGGCTTGCGCTCTGCGTCGTCTCCGTCAGGAAGCGCAAAGCTACAGCTATTCGCGCGCCCGTCATGCCGCGCTCTGCGCGGAATCCGGGCCTCCGCGGAGGCTCAGTTCCCGCAGGGAAGCAGCGGGAGTAGACAAACAGAGGAGTCGGCCACCGCGGAGGTCTCAGAAACGTCATGCACGCGGCGATCCGCGCTTCTCGCAGGTTTGGTTGCGACAGCGTGCGGGGAAGCCGCGGCTCAGCTGCTCGCTTCCCCGCCTTCTGCAGCAGCAGCAGAAGCAGAAGCAGCCATTGCCGTTAATTCCCAAACCGGAGTTTTTTCCAAGCAGCCTGACGTGATCAATGCATGCGTTTACGAGTACCCGTTAAAGATTGCGGGTCCCGTCGGTGACATTGTTTGGATCGAGACGCGCAAGCCAGAGCGCTACTCTTCCGCCGCGCCGCTCTCTCCGGACGCGCGCCTGCGCATCGTGTCGGAGCGCCTCGTCCCACTTCGCTCCCTCGTCATCAGCGTCTCCGTCTCCCCGCCGAATGCGGCGTTCCTCCCGTCGCCGCCGCCGCCGCCGGCGGCGGATCTCGAGACCGCCAAGGCCTCTGGCTGGACGGCCGTGAATGTCGCTCGGTCAGTCCTCGCCGATCGCACGTCCCCGCGCATGACGTCGATCCAACGGCTACAGGAAACGATCCTCGGCGACGTGTACGAGGAGCTCCGCACCGCGGAAGGCGCCTCGGAGCCTCTTAAGTACTACCTCTTCGAGTACGTGAACCAGAAGTCGCCGACTATGCTGACGGGGCGCGAGAAGGACGTTTTCCGTCGGTCGCTAGCGGTGGCGGCGGAGCGCGAGGGGTACATTTACTGCCTGACGGTGTCCACGGTGGATTCGGAGTGGCCGCAGCTGGAGGAAGCTTTAAGGACGACTATTGATTCGTTTAGACTGACGGCTCCCACGGGAGATTACGTGCCGCCGTGGAAGGACCCCTGGTGGTTCTGGTAAATGGGAGCGCGGAGAGAGTGGGTGGGTGGGCGTGGGGAGAGAGAGAGACAGAAGAGAGAGTGGAGGTGTAGGAGAAAGAGACTGGCTGATGGATTCTGGGAATCGGTGTGGTGGCTGGAAGCAGCGGTAGAGGAGTGGGGTGGGGAGACGGCTGGTAGCGGTGGGAGCGTTTTAAATGGGGGAGGAGATGCTTGAGAAGTTGGGGAGGAAGGATGTGGGGATGATGGAGATGGAGGGGTGGAGAGCGATGGTGATGGGCAAGGTTCGGGGTTTGGATGGAGGGGAAGGGCAAAGGGATGCAGCAGCAGTGGGGCTGGAAAGAGAAAGTGTTCTTGTAACAGATTTCAAGATGTGGAAGGGAGAGGTTGTACTAGTACCGTAGGATTGGCATGTGTGCGTCTGATTTTGCCCCTACCGTATTTTTGATTGAACAGTGCATACTAGTAGATTGGTTGATTCAAAGCTCTGCTCTGACTACCACTGCTGACTGAAAGGAATCACCTCATGCTGGTGCATATGGTGTTGAATTCAGTCCTTCATTCAGTCCTGTATATGGTAAACCTGATTATTGCAGTGAGATTTGCTGCTACCTTGCCTGAAGTGGGGTGACTTCTGACCCCATCCGCCCACCCACCTGGCTTGAGAGTTACGCAATGGGCAAAGCAGGGTCATTTCTAACGTCACCCCGGCATTTGGCAACGTTGACCAAAATGAATCTAGAGCCTGGTCAGTCATACATTGAATGATTGAACGGACTGCTGTACAGCAGAAGCACTTGACCGTAGAGGTGTTTCAGAAATAATGCCAAGACGAGACCCCTGTGCCAACCTACCTAATCACCATCCTACCAGGTGGAACTAGCCACTTGCTGAGCCAGAGCTACTCCTACTCATGCCGTCGATTGTTCCCTCGGTCACTAGACTCACCTTGTCAGAAACCTCTCTTGCTGGGCTGTCCAGGTCAATCACTGCATTGTCAACTGGAGCGGATATGCGTGTTGAATGCACAGACTGACCCGAGATCATCAGCCCTGAGGCGCGTGTTGCGGCTTGTGATGAAGCTTGTGTCGAAGCTGGTGTCGACGCTCCTTGCATCGCAAATACCGCCTCCATGGCTGATACTGCTGACGTGTCGGCTCCTGACACCTCAACTGCACTTGCCAATGGCGCTGCTGCTATGGCTTCTCTGGCTTCTGCTACTGCTATCTGTAGCATTGCCGAGTCGTGGCTCAACTCATGAGTCGCCTCTCTGGGTGGAGTAACAGAAGAGGAGACGACAGCTGGCACACCACCCTCCGCCTCTGCTGCTCCCCTCACATCTCCAGCCTCTGCTACGGATGATTCTGAATCTGATGCTACCTGCCCTGCTAGCTCCTCACTTGCTGGCGAGATTACCCCCGAGAGTGCAGTCTCACCGAGTATGCCTGCGCCTGCCACTCCTGCTTCACCTCCTCCCATCCCTACCTCACCTCCTCTCAACAGCAGTGGCATTTCTAAACCCTTGTCTATGGGCATCTGCATAGTGTCAAAATGCCTTTCTGTCTCCTCCTGCCACTCTATTGCCTCTGCTGCTCCTTCTCCTCCTCTTCCTCTTCCTCCTCCTCCTCCTCCTCCTCCTCCTCCTCCTCCTCCTCCTCCTCCTCCTCCTCCTCCTCCTCCTCCTCCTCCTCCTCCTCCTCCTCCTCCTCCTCTTGGTGCTGCTGCTTGTGGCGGTGGCAGTGGTGGTGGTGGTGGTGCTGCTGATGCTTGTGGCGGCGGTGGTGCTGATACTTCTGGCGGCGGTGGTGCTGCTGCTGATCGCAGCGATGCTGCAGCTGCTTGCAGTGGTGGTTGTGATGCTGCTGCTGGTTGTGGTAATGTTGCTGCAGCTGGTTGCAGGGTCATTGTTTGTGCAGCCACATACACGCTGCTGTAGATGTCCTGTCTTGTGCTACTGCCTATTGCACCCACCGAAACGCTGTTGGAAACTGGAGAGGAATCAGGAGCATTGGGGCTCGCAGCGACATCTCCAGCAGTGGTGCTCTGTAACCTACCGCTTCTGCTAAAGCTTGTTGATTCTGTTGCTTCTGTTGCAACTGTTGCTTCTGCTCTTTCGCCTGCTTCTTCTCCATCACTATGCTCCCTCAAAATTCTCCTGGAATACGGGCTGCAGCTTACACTTCCATCACTCCCTGCTGCACCCGTTTCCTCCGCCTCTGCCCCAGCAGCAGCAACAGGCAGCATTGGGGAACGGCTGGGAGAAAAGAATTGGGCAGAGGGCGCTAGAGAATAGGGGCCTTGAGAGTGCAAGGTGCTGGTAGGAGGGAAGGGCATGTGGGAGGTCGAGAGGGTTGCTGAGGTGCTGAGAGGAGTGGAACGAGGGATGGCAGGCGGGATATAGACAGAGGTAAAGGGAGGGAGAGTGGGGGGGATGGTGGGAGGGGTGGTGGGAGGGGTGGTGGGGGGGATGGTGGGGGGGATGGCGGGAGAGATGGTGGGGGACATGCTGAAAGAGGAATAATCCCCTGTTGTGTCTCTTATGGGAGGTGGGGCTCTAGTTTGATTCGGAGAGCGCACATGAGAATAGCGGGAGATGCTAGGCGAGGAGCGGTGAGGAGGAGTGGCAGTGGGTGCTGTAGGAGACGGGAAATATTGTGCTGCTGATGCTGATGCCATGTCACTGCTGCTGCCGCCGCTGCTGCCGCCGCCGCCGCCGCCGCTGCTGCTGCTGCTGCTGCTCCTGCCGCTGCTCCTGCCGCTGGTTGAAAATGGCAAAATCCCTGGCGACATGGAGTAATCAGCAGTGGGAGCAGCAGCAGAAGTGGAAATACCAACAAACCTGTCGCCACCACTTGTGCTGCTGCCGCTGGTTGAACCAGCAGGCGAGACACCAGCTGTGGCAGCTGCAGGTGGGTTCAGAGTGGTGCTGTGCATTCCATGGCTGCTGTACGTCCTAGGTGGCGTGCTTTCAGTGGCATGGGTAGCGCGTATGGTATGCAGAGCATGCATGGTGTGTGTGCCACCTGTTCTGTACATGCTATGTGGATGGTATGAGCTGTGTGATTCAGACCAAGGCCGGGTGTGAGAGGAGAGGAGAGGTCCAGGATGGAAAGGAGAGGAAAGAGAGGATGGTAGAAGGGGTAAGGAAGAGAGTGCTGAGGCTGGGAAGGAGGAGGCAGGGAGGGAGGAGGCAGGGAGAAGGAAATGGGGAGCGAAAGTGGAGGAATGTGGGAGGGATGAGGAGGGGAGGGAGACGGAAGAGGAAATAGAAGCGGATATGGAAGAGGATATGAGTGATAGAGAGGAGGAGAAAGTGGAAGAGAAGAAAGGGCCGAGTGGTTGGCCTGAAGCGAGTAATGTGGAGATGCCATGAAAGGGACGCGAAGAGAGGAAGGGCATGGGGGGAGATGATGGGGAGGAGAATGGGGATGTGGAAGGGGAGGAGGAAAGGTAAGGGACGGGAGAAGGGGAGGGGGAGAAGGCAGAGGGTTGGAGAGATGAGGAGGTGAGATGGTTGGTGGTGCTGGTGTTGGTGGTGGTGGGTTGGAGGCTGCTGGTGGTGAAGCTCCGAGATTCAACGACAGGAAGGCTGTGTGTTCGGAAAGAGATCGGAGGTTGCAGGTCGGAGAGCAGATGGGTGAAGAGCGGTGGTGATGGTGATGGTGACGGTGACAGTGATTGAGGTGGTGATTGTGGTGGTGATGGTGGTGATGGTGGTGATGGTGGTGACAGTGGTGATTGTGATGGTGACTGTGACAAATGTGTCGCTTCCCTTGCTGGCGATGCTGCACGGTTACTGGAGCTCTCAGAGCGTTGAGACGCCTCAATCCTGGCACTTGCAAAGCCAGTGGTACCGGTTGCATGGCTTGGGGGCGCACAGGGAGGAGAGGAAGGAGACGAGTAATAGGAGGAGGAGGCAGGTTGAGGGCTGACGTCAGCGGAGAGGGAAAGGAAGGGGATGGTGAGGGAGGAGGAGCGGAGAGTGTGGTGGGACAACGGCTGCACGGGGGATGAGGTTGAGGGAGTGGCGGGCGGAGGGTTGTGGGAGGGGATGTTGGAGTAATGGCGCTGCAGTGACAGTAAGTGTTGCCATGAACGAGTGTCACCCAACTGCCTCAAGCCCACACGTTTCCCTTCCTCCTCTTCCCCTCTCCCTTGCCCTTCCCATCTCCCTCCCCTTTGCCCTCCCCCTCTCCCTTCCTCTTCCCCTCTCCCTCCCCATTGCCCTCCCCCTTCCCGTTGGCTTCCCCCTCCCCTTTGGCCTCCCCCACCCCCTTGGCCTCCCCCTCCCACTTGGCCTCCCCCTCCCCCTTGCCTGTGCCCTTCACTTTCCCCTTCTCCTTCGCCCCTCTCCCCTGCCTGCCTTCCCCTCGCTCCCTGCCAGCCTGTCACTCCCTCCCGACTGGTGCCGCTCGTACTGGAGGGGCCTGGAGCAGCAAGGGGTAGAGAGGCCGGGCTGTTAGAGGCCTCGCCCACACTGCCACCACTGATGCTGCCACGATTGTCAGCAGCTGCAGTGGGAGCGACAGCACCGGCACCAGAAGAACCAGCACCACTTGCAGTGCCAGCAGCAGCAGCAGCAGCAGCAGAACCAGCACCATCACCATCACCAGCACCACCAGCAGTACCACTACCAGCAGCAGCAACACCAGAAACCCCAGCAGCACCGGCAGCAGCCGTAGCAGCTGGAGCAGCGGCTGCAGCGGCGGCAGCAGCAGCAGCGCTCTTAAGAGTGAGAGATCCCTGGGACTGCAGCTGTCGGCGCACGAGGCGGGCATACATGCCCCCTGTGCTCACCAGCTCCTCATGCCCGCCCTTCTCCACCACCTCTCCCCCCGCCACCACTGCCACTGTGTGTGCCGCCTTGACTGTAGAGAGCCGGTGCGCTATCACTAGTACTGTGCGGCCTTTCATGAGCTCGTCCATAGCTGCCTGGTGGGATGGGTAGTGGAGCAAGGGAGGGAGGGAGGGCATGTTTGAAGCGCCTCAAAATTGGCTATCACGAGCACTGTGCGCCCCTTCATTAGCTCGTCCATAGCTGCCTGGTGGCGGAGAGGTGCACGGAGGGAAGAAGGGAGGGAGGGGCAGGGACAGAGTGTTGGAGCAGGTTGGGAGGGTTGGGACAAGGAAAGAGGGACGCATGGGTGGGAGGGAGGGGAGGGAGGGAGGGAGGGAGGTAAGACGGAGAGAGGGTAGAAGGTGAGGGAGCATGATGGGGAGTGTGAGAAAACAAATAAAGGAAGATGAGACACAGTGTCGCCTCACCTGCACGAGGTGCTCGCTGTCAGCATCGCTCTTGGTCGTGCCCTCATCCAACAGCAACAGCTGTGGGTTCAAAAGCACCGCCCGCGCTACAACAACTTAATCTAGAGTTAACGGAAAAAGTCCGCTCATTACCTGCACGAGATGCTCGCTATCAGCATCACTCTTGGCCGTGCCCTCATCCAGCAGCAGCAGCTGTGGATCCAGCAGGACTGCACGTGCTATGGCGATGCGCTGCCGCTGCCCCCCTGTCAGCCGCACGCCCCTCTCCCCCACCTCCGTGTCGTACCTGGCGTTGCATGGAACCATGGAAGGGCGGGAGGTGGGAGGGGTGAGGGAAAGGAAGAGTAAAGTGGCAGGCTTCTGCACCCATGTGTTGCTTGTTCAGGTACCTTGACTTGACTTGATCCCTCTTTCCCCCAATCTCCTCCCTCTTCCCGCACCTACCCGTGCGGCAGAGCGCAGATGAAGTGGTGAGCGTTGGCGATGGTGGCGGCGCGTTGGATGGCTGAGAGGGGCACGGGGGTGGTAACGCCGTAACTGATGTTGGCCGCCACTGAACGGCTCACCAGCAGCGGCTCCTGCCATACCACTGACACCTGGGGGAGAGGGGGAATCGCGAGATGGAGAGGGGAGAGAAGCACGGGGGTGGGCATACAGTAGCTGATGTTGGCTGCTACTGAACGGCTCACTAGCAGCGGCTCCTGCCATACCACTGACACCTGGCACAAGGGGGAGGGGGAGGGCGAGTAGGTGAGGGGGAGAGGGAGAGGCAAGGGGAGTCTGAAAGGGGGAGCCCCTTCCCTCCCCTCCAAGGGAGAGGGAGAGGCAAGGGGAGAAATGAAAACGGGGGAGGAGGGGAGGGAAGGGGCTACTGGCAGTTCACAAGGAATGGCAGGACTTCAACGTGTTGCCAACTGCACACGTTGAACAAGTGAAACACTTGTGCACAGGAGTGCGAGATTCACGACACTTCACCAGGGACAAGGTAGACTAGGCAGGGGGGTGCAGGCGGAGAGAGGGAGGCACCTTGGAGTGGAGGTAGTTGCTGTCGATGCCAGGCAGTGGCACGCCCGCCAGCAGAATGGATTTTACTTTTGAGAATTTTCAAAAGTAAAATCCACATACCTTGGAGTGGAGGTAGTTGCTGTCGATGTCAGGCAGTGGCACGCCTGCCAGCAGAATGCGGCCCGCACTGGGGTCGTACAGGCGCAGCGCTAGTGACAGCAGAGTGGACTGCATGAGAAGGCGAGAGAGGAGGCGAGGGAGCAGAGGGAAGCGAGGGGAGAAGGGGCAGGTGGGAAGAGGAGAAGAAGAAAAGAGAGGATAGTCACATGTGTTGGTGCTGAGCTGAACTCAGGCACTCGGAAAGATACATATGCTTATCCCTCCCAAGGAGTCTATTCCAGCTGCGACGGAACAAGAGAGTTCCACACAGAATTCTGTAGGCGTCAGCACATCATACAGCGCATTGTCATTTCTCTGCAATCACATGCTTAAACCACACTTCACTTCTGGAACCAAACATACATTCCTTGATTGTGTAACTTGATAATTCTCACAAGCCTGCCTATCCGCCTTCCCACATACCTTGCCCCCTCCACTGACCCCCACAAGAGCGACTGTATGCCCCCATGGCAACGCGAGTTGGAGACCCTGGGATCATGGCGCCACAGACGCGAGTGTGGGGGATGGGGGGAAAGAGCACCGCAGAGAGGACGCACAGTGAGGAGGGAGAGTTGCAGAGCGGAGGGAGTGGGGAGGGAGGCGGGGCAGTGACAAGCGACAGGAGAACGCGGAGGGCTGTGCGTTACTGCTCCATGAAAATGGTATTCTTAATGCACAAAGGCCTTTGTGAAAACGGTTTTAATGCACACAACACTGTACAATCGCACTATAACCAGCCTGCCTGCCTGCCTGCCTCCATGCCACATCTTTCACTCATCCGCCTACCCTGTCCCTCGCCCTCCTCTCCCCAATCTTCTCCTCGCATCGCTCCTCCCATGCTCACCTTGATAACCCAGTGCTCCGGTCGCGAGGGGTATGCGAACCACACTCTGTCAAACAGCAGGCATGGCCCCTCTCCGCCCCTGGCCGTGAGAGGGAGTGTGTACAGGAGGACGGGGAGTGAGAAAGGAGGAGGATCAGATCAGAGGGGTTGAGGAGGGACGCATGAGGAAACTCAGAGGGTTAGGGCAGGCAAGGTGGATGGAGCAAGAGGGGACAGGAGGAGATGAAGTGATGGACGATGGCATGATGGTGGTATGGTGGCATGGTGGCATCATGGCACGGTGGCATGGTGGCATGGTGGCATCATGGCACGGTGGCATGGTGGCATGGTGGCATCATGGCTTGGCGGCATGCAGGCATGAGCGCATGGGGACATACATGGGAGGGCATCGGTTGCCATGGGGTGGCATGCGCGGGTGCATGTTGAGCATGAGCAGCACCCTCTCCGCTGCCCCCATCGCCCTCACCATCGTGCCGTATATGCCACTTAGATTTGCCACGGACATGCCCACTGCACCCACGAGTGGTGTGCGGTGGGAGGGAGGAGAATGGGAGGGAGAAGGGGTTGGGGGGATTTTTCTAAGACGTATCAAAAACACCCTCATTTCCCATCGCCCTCACCATCGTGCCGTATATGCCACTTAGGTTTGCCACGGACATGCCCACTGCGCCCACGGTGGGTGCCGTGGGAGGAAGGAGAAAGGGTGGGTGGAGGGGTTGGGGGGACAGGAAGAGGAGCGGAGGCATGAAGGGAGGAGGTAAGACTGAGGAGAGGAGGAAGATTGGAGAAGCAGGGGAGAAGGAAGAGGGTCAGGAAGTGGTAGAGAACAAAAGATCAACCAAGCTCGGCTTGGGAGGGCAAAGCATGGCGTGGCATGGCGTGGCATGGCGTGGCATGGCGCGGGAAAGTGTAGCAGGGCATGACATGGCATGGCGTAACATGATGGGAAGGCACGGTACCGGTGGCAGCAATGAGTATGAAGCATGCGAGGTCCCCTATGTCCATGGCTCCCGCGGCTGACAGGTATGCTCCATACGCGAACACCACCACCACTGCCAGCCCTGCACCCGCATACACTGCTCCTGATAACAGCCCCACTCGGAACTGATGTAAGTGGTCGTGGGCGGGGGAGGGTTGTGAAAGGGGGGAAGGTGGGGGGAGGAGGAGGAGGAGGAGGAGGAGGAGGAGGAGGAGGAGGAGGAGGAGGAGGAGGAGGAGGAGGAGGAGGAGGAGGAGGAGGAGGAGGAGGAGGGCGAACAGGGGAGGAGAGGGGGTTAAAGGAAGAATGGTGAAAGAGATGGAAATATGTGACAAATGAAATTGGACCACACAGAAGCTGACAGGTGTGCACTGAGCACTGATCCAGAGGGAGTTAGGAAGTAGCACTTGTCTTCAGGTGAAGTGGTGAGCGCGAGGGAAGAGCGCGAGGGGTGAGCGCGAGGGGTGAGCGCGAGGGGTGAGCGCGAGGGATGAGGGCGAGGGGTGAGCGCGAGGGATGAGCGCAAGGGGTGAGCGCGAGGGGTGAGGGCGACGGTTGGAGGCACCGCGAGGGTGTGGACAAAAGAATAATATAGGAAGGTGGGTGGGGATGGTGATACCGCGAGTGTGACGCCCATGTGCATGCAGTGTCTAGTGAGCAGTGCGAAGCGGTTGTGCTCCCACTCTTGCTGCGAGAAACACCGCACCATGCGAATGCCCTGCAGCACTTCCTGGGGTGGGGTATGGGATGGAGTGGGTATGGTGGTATGGTAATGTGGAGGAGAAGCATTTTGAGCGATGTGCACGCGTGCATGCACAGAAGCTGCACCACACTGCACCGCATGCAAATACACTGCACCGCACGCTCATACACTGCACCGCACTGCACCCCACGCTCATACGCTGCACCGCCCGCTCATACGCTGCACCGCACGCTCATACGCTGCACCGCCCGCTCATACGCTGCACCGCCCGCTCATACGCTGCACCGCCCGCTCATACGCTGCACCACCCGCTCATACGCTGCACCGCCCGCTCATACGCTACACCACCCGCTCATACGCTGCACCGCCCGCTCATACGCTGCACCGCCGGCTCATTCACTGCACTTCATGCTCATACAGCGCACCGCAGGCTCATACTCTCCACTGCACTGTCATACACTGCACCGCACGCACATACAGTGCACCGCACACTCATACACTGCACCGCACGCTCATAAGCTGCACCGCACGCTCATACGCTGCACCGCACGCTCATACACTAATTTTGACAAATGCTCCTGTGCGTCACAGAAAAAAAAAAAAAACAAGGAAAAGCACACACCTCTAGACCTTATAATGTGCAAAAATCAACCACATGCAGTCCCACCAGCACTATCATCCCATACACCACCATCCTCCTTCGCCCCACCTTGCTCCCTCTCCCTCACCACATCCCCCTTCCACGTCCGCCTTCTCCCACCACATCCTCCACTCCCGCCCACGCATCTCCCTACACAAGGCCCCACCCGACTCACCTCTGCGACGGCGGCAGCAGTGGCAGCAGCAGCATGGGCGTCCCTGGCCAGGGCTCTAATGGCGTAACTGTAGTGCCGCACTGCCACTGCCACGGGCACCAGCACCACGAGCGCCAGCACTGGTATTCCGTGGGAAGTGGTAGGCGTGAGGGAGTTGTGTTAAGATGGGCATGTGGGCGGGTAGGAGGGTGGGATAGTGGAAGAGGGAAGGTGGGGATGAGAGACTCAGGTGTTGCATGGTGTGGAGTTGAGGTGGAATAGCCATTGAAAGACTCAGGAGCGATGATCAGGTAGACTGGGAAGATTGGGAAGATGACAACAAGGAGTGTTGCATTGCAAGGCCTGTGGGCTTGAGCTGAGCCCTAGAAGCAGCGCAAGCGGCGCATGGCATACCCAGACCCTCCACTAGCAGCACCTCTTTGCTGCGTCTGTGGCCATGCCCTGACCTGACACACACCGCACTCGCTTCCTACACACCCATACTCTCCCTCCCACTCCTCCCTGCTCCCCTATACTCCCCCCGACCTGTGAGAGTGGGCGAGATGGCGAGCATGAGCAGCAGGCCGCAGGCAGCAGTGGAGAGGGAGCGCAGGCCCTCTGGTGTGCCCGTGCCCAGCGCGCTCCTCACCAGCCCCGTGTCGTCTGTCAGCCGCCTTGCCACCTCGCCCACCCGCACACTGTCGTACAGTGCCATGTCCTGGGGGGGGAGACGGGTGGGGGTGCAGAGGGGATTTGTGCGCGGGGATTTGTGCACCTGTAAGTACCGTACATAGGAAAACCATTCCCAGGACAACCATACCAGCGAAGCGAGTACCGTACCAGCGAGTACCGTACCTGGCAGCACCATACCGGCGAGTACCGTACCTGGGAGTACCGTACCGGCGAGTACCGTACCTGGGAGTACCTGGGCGAGCAGGCATCGGAAGAGCTTGGTCTTGATGTGCGCCGCTACGCGCTCACTGGCAGATGAGAAGAGGAACGTCCGCACCATAGTGCCCACCGCCCTGCCGTGCACATAAAACATGAAAAAAAAAAAAAAAAAAAAAAAAAAAAAAAAAAAAAATCTAGCGGTGCCTATGGAGGATTTCTCAGACGGCTGAGAAAGAGGAACGTGCGAACCACCCTAAGGTATGGCACCCACAGCACAGCCATGCATGGGCCACGTAGAAAACATCTCTGAGAGCACCTCAGAAATTGGTACATGCGGTGCAAGGGAGTGGGGGAGCATGGGAGCAGCGTACCCCAGCACAACAGAGGCAGCCATGAAGAAGATGGTCTCTGTGAGCTGCGCGAGAAACGCCCTCCACGCCGCCTCGCTGCCCCTGCTCGCCCCACTCACCAGCGCCACCACCCGCCCCGCATAGTGCGCCTGGTAGCGCCAGGGAGGGGGGGGAGGGGGACGAGAGGGGTGGTTGTGGGGGAGGAGGTGCGGAGAGTGAAGGGACAGAGGATTGAGGCTATTAAGGGGCAGCCTGAGATTCACCTTGGCATCGGTTGAAATAGATGAACCATGGAAGCAAAGATGCTGGAAAGGAGAGCGTGAGAGAGGCGTGCGTGGTGAAGCGTGTGTGGTGTGGAGACGCATGCACACACCAGAGCCAGGGTGGTGAGGGCGGAGACGAGGAGAGGCAGCATTGCCACCAGAAGCAGCAGCCACTCGTCTTGAGCCTGTGAGTGACCCAGGCGTGCAGGTACAGGTGGTGCGGAGGAAGAAGCGGGGAAAGGCAAGGCAACGCAACGCAACGCAACAAGGGATAGTCACGTTTGAGAGCTCTCGTGAGTGACTGTTGTATCGCGGGGCACGGGAGGAGGAAAGCGGGATTTGAGGGATGAGGAGAGACGAGAGTGGGAGGATAGGGGTTTGAAAGGTAAGAGAGGGAGCGAGAGAAAGAGAGATGGCGGAGCGCCTTATTACAGGAAAGAACACGAAGATAACGGGAACCGGAAGCAAAGGGTGGAGAGGTAGGGTCACAGCAGGAAACTCACGAGAAACATTATCTGGAGGAGAACTGCTGTGGGCTGGTAAGGCGGGGACAGAGGGTGGGTGTATGCAGGGAGGGTGGGAGGGTGGGTGGATGTGCACGAGGCAAATGAATGACTATGGGACGAGGACAGTTGGTGCTGCTGGCAAGAGAGGGAAGAGCAGCAGATCGACCGGACTGTGGTTCAAAAAAGGAACTTGCAGTGGCAAGAAAAACATACGGAGTGGATACACGCTCACTCACATGCCTTCCCAGACTTGTTGTTACTACCGTATGGAGAGTGCATGCACTACCTTCTGAGGCGCTGAACGGAAAACCGGAGTCCTGCTCTCATCCTCCAAATCTTCCTCTGCTCCCCCCCTTCCCTCCCCATCCCCACCTCCCTCTCCCCCTTCGCTTCCATCCCCTTCCCCCACTCCACCAACATCGCCCCTTCTCAGACCAGCAGGGCCATCCCAGTCCACCCCGCTCGCATGCTGCCACTGCCCTCCCTCACTTGACAACAAAGGCGTGTGCTCTGATGCTTGCTGGTGCGACGACCAAGACCTTACACCTGACGGCCCTGCCGATGCTTCTGCTGCTTCTCGTGGTGCTGTTCTTGCTGTTGTTGGATCGTCTCTTTCCGCTGCTCTCGCTGCTGCAGTGGATGGTGCTGGAGGTGCGGAAATCGGAGCTGCTGCTGACGCGTATGCCCTTCTGGCGCGAGCTAGCGCGTGAAGGGGCTGCGAATGAGGGGCTATGGGGGGGCGAGAGGTGGAGGGGAGATTGATGGAGGGGTGTCGCGAAAGCGAGGAGGACGACGAGGAGGAGGAGGAAGAAGTGGAAGTAGCAGAAGCAGAAGAGGAGGAGGAGGCATTAAGTGATGCATATAGAGATGGTAGGATGGATGTGAGGTCAGCAGGAAGAAGGGTTGGCGAGGCGGGGAAAGAGGATGGGGAGAAAGAGAGCATGGGAAGGATGGAGCTACTTCGACCGGCGCCAAAAAACGCAGTGGCGAGAGAGGGTGAGAAGGTGGTGAGAGCAGCAGCAGCTAGATTCGACGGAATGGCAGCAAGGCTGCTCATGATGCTGCTGCTTGTGCCTCCCCTGCCGCTGCCGCTGCTGATGCTGGCTCTGCCGCTGGCAGCAGCAGCAGCAGTTCGGCTGCTGGCATTGCCGTGGGTGCTGCTGCTGCTGGCGTTTCTGTTGACGTTCCTGCTGCTGCTGCTGTTGCTGCCAACGGCGGTGTTGCGGGCGTCATTGGGTCTGCTCATGCGCTGCTGGTTACCACTGAGTGTTGAATGCCCAGCTGCTGCGATCGGTGGTGGAGCAGCGGGAGCAGCAGGAGCAGCGGGAGCTGTGACAGCAGTGGCAGCAGCGGCAGCCGTGGGAGCAGTGAGAACAGTGGAAGCAGCAGGTTGAGTGGCACGAGTGGCAGTTGTCCCAGTGGAGGGGAACAACTGCCTTACTGCAGCACGTGGCGGCCTCTGATTGGATAACACGGGATGGGGATGACAGGGAGCAATGAATGGTACGTCTGGACTAAGCACGGCCTTCTGAAGAGGGAAAACGATTGTACCACTTTTGAGAATTCTCAAGAGAGAACAAAAGAAACAACCACAGTAGGTAATAACAAGGGAATGACGCGATGCGGTGCAAATAGACGGCCCACTGGCGACGCCGAGATGAGAGGAATCACGGATCGCACTACCACGACGCCAGGAGAGGAGCACAAATTGGAGTCACACTTGAAACTGGTAAAAAATATCACCAATATATGACACTCAAGCGTTTCCCACTCTTTTCCTCCTTCACCCTCCCTCCACCTTCCCCCTCCCGACCTGAAGCGTGCGGTGTCCGAGCGACGTGACAAGAGGCGCAAGCCGAATTTTGAGTCCACTCGAAAAGCGACTTTCCCCCATACCTGAAACGTGCGATATCCGGGCGACGTGACAAGAGGTTCGGATCCCGCAGCCGGCGAGCCAGGCTGCGGCAAAAACGGCGTCGCGTGGTTGGGCGGGTCCGCCATGTCAGCTGCTCGCAGCAGCTACCGTCATGCGGGATGGTGAGAACGAGCTACGGAGACTCGTTCGAGCTACGGAGACTCGTTTGTCTGACTAGCGTCGCGCACTAATTCACGAAGTGTCCTCACCATGTTCAAATTGTGATAAAAACGAATCTACCACGTACAATATGAGCAGCTTTGTTGCGGTTCAGCACAGCACACCTCACCCGTCAGGCACATCCCACATGGGGATTGCACGCACGGCGTCTCGGACTGATCCTCGTCGTTCCTGCCAAAAATTCGCAATTCCCTCGAGATCAGTTGAATTTGGCCAACTTTGGCTTTGCTGCTGGCTCCCTCGAATTTCTGACCAGAGCTTGAATTTCATTGGCTTGTTAGCAATAACACTATCACATAACCTAATACATATTGGACCATAGGAATAAAACGGAAATTTACCAATTATTCCCACAATGGCAGATTAAGTGTCTGTAAGATTTATGTTTTGAACTGCACTACGATTTTGAAATTTCAAGTCAACATAAGGCTTGACACACCAGTATCGGACCTCCTCACACAGAGGTCAACAAATAGAAGAGGTCAACAATACGTCTTTAAGTGGATGTTTAGCTGCCTACAGCAGCAAATAGAAGCTCTCAACAAACTCCATTTGGGCGCACAAATCCCTTTCCGATGGCAGAATACCCAGCCACGCTGATCCTCTTGGAGTATCCAGCCCAATTCCCTTACCTCCCACATCATGTGTCTGCCCTTGCACCACTGCTCCGTCCACCACTCCCTTCACCACTGCACCCTCCGCCACTACACCTCCCTCGACCGTGGCAACTGCGCCCATCCCACAACGGCGGCTCTCACTGCTGCCACCACTGCTCCCACTGCTGCCACCGCTGCTCTTGGCGAACTCTCCCTGCTGCCGCCCTTGCTGCTCCTGCTGCTCCTGCCACTCTTCTTCCCCGAGGCGGCTGCTGTGGTCACCATTCGAGTCCTGCACCACAGTTGCTTCACTTGCATCAGCACTGCAACTCGCATATCCACCACCCACACATACACTGCTGATGCTCCTGCAGCTGTCCCCGTCACTCTCCGACAACTCAATTCTCTCCCACATATCCTCCCCTCCATCTGCTTCCTCCAACTCCTCCTGCTCCCCTCTCCACTCTACCTCCCCGCTACTCCATTCCACCATTGCCTCCTCCTGAACGACAGCCACATCTCCACTCCACTCCACCCCTCTCTCTTCCCCTGCACCGCTCGCCACCCCACTAGACTCTTCTCCAAGCTCAGGACCGGAGCAAACCAACAGGGCGTGCAGCACTGGCGGCTCAACACACCCTTGTATCGCAGCGCCTTGTAAAGGGGACGGGGACAGCGCAGACCTAGTTGCGTTTCCTGCACCTGGTGCTTGGTCCGGAGACGGTTGGAGGCGGGAGTGGGGGAAGGAGAAAGGGTCGCGTGGGGAGGAGAATGGGGAGCGAAGGAGAGAGACAAGGGTGGTGGGTCCGGAATGGAGGAGGTTGGTGGCAGTGGTAGCATGGGGATGATGATGAGGAGGAGGGGGAGGAGGAGGAAGAGGAGGAGGGGCAGGGACAGGAGGAGAAGAGGCGCCCGAATTACTTATGCTTTCCGTAACTTCTCCATCGCGGCTGCTGCCCCTGCTGCCCCTGATGCTACTGCTGCTACTGCAGCTGCTGCTGCTGTTTGCGATGTTGCATCTGGCTCTGGTGCTGGAGGCAGCACTGCTACCATCCCCTTCACCGCTGGTCCCCCTGCTCTGCAGTTCACAACCCTCTTCCGTCCTGCTCACACCTTTCCCTCCACCAACCTCTTCCACACGCGCCCCCGCACTCTGCCCATCCTCCCTTGCACCTATCCCCCCCGTGCCTCTCATTTGCATCCACGGGTGCAGCAGCACCTGCTGTGCAGTAGGCCTCTCCTCCGGTCGCCGCCTCAGCATCCACGCCACCAACTCCTTCGCCTCCTCGCTCACCCCCGCCCACTCCTCCCCACACATCCTCTTCCACACCCCCTTCCTCTCCTTCCCCCTGCCCGCTTTCCTCTCCACCTTCCCCACCTCTCCCACCACCTGTCCCCTTTCCCCTTCCCCTTCCGCTTGCCCCTCCCCGTCCTCCTCCTCTTCCCCTTCCAGCGACCCCACGGCAATGGCTCTTAGAATCTCCGCGTCTGTCTGCCCATAGTACGGTACGTGTCCTGACAGCATGAGGAACAGCACCACGCCAAGGCTCCATATGTCTGCCGGGAACCCGTACCACCCGCTCGGAACCTCTGGCGCCAGATAGTACGGGCTGCCCGCTAAACCTTTTACTAGCTGCCCGGGGGGCAGGAACACGGAGAGCCCGAAATCCGCGAGTCTCACGCGGATGTTGGGGGAAAGGAGGGACGGGTGCGAGCGGCGCGCGGAGCTAGCGTTGCTTTGAGCGGGCAGCGGGTGGCACGAGGCCGCGGACGAGGGGGAATCGGCAAAATCGTTGGAGGACGCGGAAGGGGAGTAGGAAGAGGGAGAGGAGGAGGAGGAGGGGAGGGTGGGTCCGTTGGCGGAGGGAGGGCGGGAGGGAGTGAGCGAGTGGTGGAGTTGAAGCAGGATGTTTTCCGGCTTGAGGTCGCGATGCAGCACACCCAGCGCGTGGCAGTGCCGCACCGCTGCTGCCACCTGATGGGGGGAACAGGGGGCCACAAGGGGATGAGGTGAGGTGGGGATGGAGGGGGCAACGAGCGTAGAAGGAGACAGGATACGACATTCATTACATAAGTCATGGCGATTTAACGTCGTCGGCACTAACTGCATCGCGAAGGGAATGTTGCGACGAGAGAAGCAGCCGTAGCAGCGCGCATCAATGACCCACCTGCGCCAAGACCCACCTGCGCCATGACGTGTCGGGCCTCGTCTTCCGCGAGTCGCCCGCGCGACACGACAGTGTCGAAGAGCTCGCCCCCCGCGCACAGGTCCATGATCAGATGCACCGCCGCGCCGTCCTCCAACACGCCGTGCAGCCGCACGCACCCGCCGCCTTCTCCGCCCCACGCTCCGCCGTCCTCTCCGCCTTCCGTTCTACTCTCCGCTCCGCCCGCCGCTCCCCCGTCAGCATCCGCCTCCCGTAACCCCCCTTTTCCGTCTCCGCACTGCTTCCCTCCGCTGCGCCTTCCGCTACTTTCGTTTCCCCCATTTGCTGTCTTCCCCGCGCCGCCCGCCTTCTCCGCATCATTTCCGCCTGCGCCCACCACGCACATCACCGCCACTTCCCGCCGCACGTCCTCCCTGTCCTCCCTGCCGCAAACACAGGGGGTCGAGGGGACATGACAAGAAAAAACCTTGCTTGTTGAGGTCTACCTCTTGCTTGATCTGCACTACACTCGCAAGGAGAGCTCTTTCGTCCAATTGTAGCCGGGGTTTCCAAAATAAGATCGGAAATCGCACCTCCTTCCCGTGAATCTCGACCTCGAGCGAGCAGGCATGCACAGAACGCACGGAACGCACAGCAAGGAACGAATCAACCACTCCGAACCCTTCACGGCCACGCCCAACCGTACCAGTATCTGAGCTTCGACTTGTCGATCGACTTGCACGCCAGCAGGCGGCCCGAGCGCCGCTCCCGGCACACCCGTACGCACCCGAAGTGCCCGCTGCCCAGCCACTCCCCCACCTCGTACTCCTCCTCCAGTCGCGCCGTCTCTTCCGCGAGCACCCGGCACCTATCCGCTGCGGCCACGTGCCCGCCCGGGAACTGCGGACGGCCGTTCGCAGCTTTCCCTGCCGCCGATGCGTCTGCTGCGGGTGCACGCGGCGAAAACGGAGACTCGGAAGATGCGGACAACGCGCAGTCGTCCCTCGTGAGTCTCACACCCCCCGCATGCACTTTTACCTCGCAGGACAGATTCCTCCCTTGCGAATTGCCCTCCGCAGCCTGCGAATTCCTCGACCTGGGATCTTCTTTCGAATCCACCACCAAATCTACTTCCTTCCGCCCCGCACACTTCCGCCTTTCCTCCCCGTCCCCCTCATCATCGAATAGTAAACGGCCTACTGGTCCGCGCACCTTCCGCCCGCCGCCGCCGCCACCGGAGGAACTCTTCCCGGAAGAAAATCCCGAAGTAGATTCCCCTTCATCCGCGCTTTCTCCCCATGTATTCCTGCAAGCGCGCACCACCCCGGCTCGTCCCCCAGCCGCCGTTGAACTGGGACCGTCGGGGTCATGCGGCGTGAGGAACGGAGGCGTCAGCAGAAGCGGTTCTGGGGGATCGAGAGCGGGAGTGGGGAGGTCCTGGGACTGGGATTTGAATAGAACGTCGTTGCTGGAAGGGTGGTGGCGGGATGTTGAGGTGGAGGGAGACACGGGTGGGGAGGAGGTTCCGCAGGTGAACGGGGAGAAGAGGAGCGGGCGGAAGGGCGCGGAGAGACGCGGGGAGAAGAAAGAGACGGGCGGAGAGAAGGTGGGGGTCTGGGGCGACGGCGGCGTGAGCGGCGAGACAGGTTCAGAGATATTCTCGAGATTCCCGGAGCCCTTCGGGCTCGAGAAGGATGCCTGTAACGATACTTCGTCATGCGACTATTTTCGCTCGAGCGAAAAAGTGGAATCGGCGGCTCGGGATGGTTGCGATCCGACAGTAATCGACGCGGGCAGGGGCCAGAGAGTCTGGTTCGCGGGGCAATGCGGCGAGGGAAGGCCCGGGTAACGAAGCTTGGTACGCACGGACGATAGGAGCGCGTCCTTAAAGACTGGGTGGTATGTCGCGACATCCTCCGGCCGCACGCCGAAGGTCATGTTAAGCCAGTCTTCGGCGCTGCGAAGCAGCATCGACTCGGAGATTAAGAGGACCATGGATATATCCTACGGGAAAATTTTTGATAGTTTTGCAGGGAAAGTAATTCCGAGGGTCTAGCATTCGCTGCCACGATATGCAGAGCAGGAGACGGAAGGATCTAGCAACTTCTCACAACTGAGCAAAGAGCTAACACTGGCTGAATCTCTTCGATCGTTCCTTTAGTGTGACGCGAAGTGGGTTCCCCACACAAAAGATCCCGATTCCCCAACGAGTTGTCCTCCTACATCCCTCTCTTCACCATCCAGAAGGCATCCGAGGGAAACGGGACATCACAGCTGGACAGGCAACACACATTGCATGTTGGAGTGATGAGGGTGGGACGAGCGACCTGACGAGCCGATTGGAACAAAATTTCGCAGCGCTGATCAAATTCACTCCGTCGAGGCGCTCTCACAGGTGGCTCAGCTTCGCCTGGGTGGGTCGAAAGGCAAATCTGTGGGAGAGGGCGGAAGTTTTGTGTTGGAAAAGTCTGGGTTGCGCATGCAGGCGCGAGCACTTGTGTTTCCTTGTCGCCCACGCGCCGCCTGCGCAACCTGTCAGCTGATTTGGCACAGCCACTTTGGTGGTGCCGCGTGGAGCCCTGAAGCGTAATGTGCGATGCGGTCAGACCGGGTCTCGATGTTGCGAGGAAGCTAACATTATCGGCTGCTGTATCTGGGTACACTATGTTGCACTGATCGAACTACGCCAAGAGCTGATTCTGGCCTTGCAAACATGTAAACTTCATGGAAACAGGAGTTTTAGTGATTACTGATTTTGGATATCTGCAACCCTTATACCCATCATGCGCAAGGATAGCATGTGTAATGGACCACTTTCTATGTATTTCACAGCTTTACAGCGGTACAAACGTGCACTCTGAAAGTGCTCTCCGCTTTCATCAACGCATAGTGAATGTCTTGGAACCACTCGTGGTAGGAGTCCTGAAGCACTCGGAAACAGTGCCACGGATGTGATAACGTGATATCATGGTATGAGACGGATTAGGAGGACAGCAGCATTAGACCTACCACACCTACCATAGCATGCCCATGGCATGATGGCCCGAGCATGGGTAACATGCTTTATAGAAATGCAGCAGGAGCAGAGCAGAGGGAGAGTTGCATGGCAAGAAACGTGAGGGGGATCAGGGACGGTGAGAGAGTGAGAGTCGCGTGGGTGTGGAGCGGAGGGGGCGGGAGAGGGCGAGGTGGGGGTGTGGGGGAGGGTAAGGAAAGCACTTACTGGTAGGAGAGATCAATGTCAAGGAAGCGGGTGCATTCCTTATTGGGAGCAATGGTTGGAGCAGGAGGAGCAGGAGGGGCGGCAGATGGTTGGGAGTGGGTGGGCGAGGCGATAGGGCTGGGATGGTTGTTGAACTCCACGGAGAACCAGAAGGCAAAGCCGGTCAGTGGGGCTGGCGAGAGAGACAGGGCGAGTGAGAGGGAGGGAAGGCAAGCAAGGAGGGGCGCACATGCGGGAAGTAAGGATGTGAGGGTCATGGACAGGGACTCGTGATGGTTTTGTGGTTAGCCCTTCACACAGAATGATGACCCACTCACACAATACCAACCACTCACACAATACCAACCACTCACACAATACCAACCACTCACACAATACCAACCACTCACACAATACCAACCACTCACACAATACCAACCACTCACACAATACCAACCACTCACACAATACCAACCACTCACACAATACCAACCACTCACACAATACCAACCACTCACACAATACCAACCACTCACACAATACCAACCACTCACACAATACCAACCACTCACACAATACCAACCATTCACACACGATCATGGACTTGGAAGAGAAGTCTGCCTCTACAAGCTGCAGGTCCTCCTCTGTCACCGTCGCACAGTCGATGCGCTTCACCTGCGCGTCTCACCATTGCACACGCACACACACACGCACACACACACGCACACACGCGCACACACACACACACACACACACACACATGCAGCACAAAGCAGAAGCTTGAACATTCCCAAATTGACTCAGACATAGACACACTCACTCACTCACTCACACACAATTGCACGCACTCAAATGCAGCACAAATCAGTGAGCTCGGGATGAAGGAGCATTTTAAGCATCCCAACTGCTCTGCACCACACCCACCCTCTGCTCCACACTCCCTCAGCCACTATCCCCTTCCACTAGCCTTCGCCACACCCATTATCCGCCGCCATCCACTCCTATCCACCAATAACCACGCCCCGCACCTGCCCACCACTGTGCACCGCTCCCAAACCATGCATCTCACCACTGAGGGCTCCCCCAGAATGTGCTCTGCTGTGATGTTCTCCACACAGGGGTCTGTGAAATAGCACTTCTTCGCCAGGGGTACCAGCGCCGTCACTGCCGGAGGGGTGAGGGA